GGAGCCCGACATGCAGCTCCAGCCTGCGCTGGTGGCTAAAACTGAACAGACCAATGGCCTTTGGTGAATTCATATCCCAGATGTTGGGTTCCAAATGTAGCATAAAAAATAAAAACTCGGGGACTGGAGAGATGGCTCAGTGGTTAAGAGCATTGCCTGTTCTTCCAAAGGTTCTGAGTTCAATTCCCAGCAAACACATGGTGGCTCACAACCATCTGTAATGAGGTCTAGTGCCCTCTTCTGGCCTGCAGACATACACACAGACAGAATATTGTTATACATAATAAATAAATATAAAAAAAATAAAAATAAAAACTCAGATACAGGTATTGGGGTTCAACCTGTAGATCAGAAAAGTAAAGCCACCAAGCCTATATAGAGTTCTTACCTCTAAGAAATTCGCACTGAAAGAGATTGAGTTCCTGTTTCATCCTGCCTTATATTCCTCTTTAGTCTTGGTAATAAAAGTGCATACAACCACCACATGACCTCTATGGCTGACTAGTGTGGCTGCTGGGATAAAAGGTGTGTGCCACCACTGCCTGGCACACTATGGCTACCTAGTGTGGCTGCTTTGCATTGACCTTAGATTAGTTTTATTTATCAAAACACAAATAATAGACAACTATAAAAGCTAGTTTTAATCTTTAACTGGACTGGGACTGCAGAAATATCATTTGCATTATTTGTCTATAGAGAATAGCAGAAACAAAATGTTTGTGAAGATTTGTGAAATTTTATCTTTTTTCTTGAAACATTTTTTTTTTCTGGATGATTTGTACTTTTTCTTTAGGTATCTCTTTTTTTCCAATAGTCTTCAGAGTCCTTATCTGGGTATCTTTATTTAAATGGAGACTGCTCATTTGTTTACCAACTGTTTAGACATGTATTATCACACAGAAACTACATTAAGTGCAACATTGTCTGGCCCATTAGCTCAGACGTCTTATTGGCTAGCTCTTACATTTTAAAGTAACCCATTTCTATTCTATTTCACCACAAAACTTGTGGATTTTACCTGTTGCTTCTTAGACAGCTCCATGGCATCTCTCTGACTCCATCTACTCTCTCTGTATATCTCTTTTCAGATATCCTGCCTGGCTTTACTCTGCTTATATTGGCTGAAACAGCTTTATTCATCAACCAATAAAAGACACTCATATACATAAGGACATCCCACATCACATTTATTCTCCTGAAAAGACAAAAACCAAACCCTCCTCCAACCCTGTTTTGGGAAGATTCTGCTTTGGTAAGTGATATCTGAGCAAATGAACAGCATTTGTTACTTTTATAGGTTAGTTTATATTAAACAGCCTCAGTTCTTAATTAAATATCATCTGTACTAATTAAAAGATCTCTCTTGTACAAGTCAAATTTTTATCAATTTTGATGGTATCCATAGCTTTTCTTCTCCTGTGAAAACAAAAGCAAAATCCCTTGCCCAATGTAACACATGTCCTGGTTTCCATTCTGAGGTCAGTGCATCTTCAATGTATATTGTAGTGGGAGGCTGCTTGTTGGTTTCCAGCTGCCTGGCTAGCTTAGACCAAAAATAATCACACAGAAACTGTATTATTTAAATCACCGCTTGCCCCATTAGCTCTAGCTTCTTATTGGCTAACTCTTAGATATTAATTGAACCAATTTCTACTAATTTGTATATCACCACAAGGTTGTGGCCTACCAGCAAAGTTTTAGCACATCTATCTTGATGACGGCCCCATGGTGTCTCTCTGACTCTGCCCTTCTTTCTCCCAGCATACAGCCTAGCTTTCCCCGCCTAGTCCTGCTCTTCCCTGCCATAGGCTCAAAGCAGTTCTTTATTCATTAACCAATGAAAGCAACACACAGACATAGGACATCCAACACCAGTGTATCAACTGATTTAATTCCATAGTCATTTTTTTTTACTATCTAATGTCTCTCCACCACTGTTTTTCCCTTCTCATTATCATTTAGAAAATTCAAAGTTAATAAAGCATTATGCAATCTATTCTTGTGGGCATTTATCATCCATTTCTGTTTATTTAACATAACCTTTAGGGTTTGATTTGATCTTTCTACAACTGCCTGGCCTGTAGGATTATGTGGGTATACCTAAAATATGCTTTATAGTATAATAAGCAAAAATCTGTTTCATTGTCTTAGAGACATGTGCTGGAGCATTGTCTGTCTTCATTTGTACAGGTATACCCATAACTTCTAGTAAGTGTGTGATTACTGAAGCAATTTTCAGCACCTGTGTATACCAGACCTTCAATGACAATGTTATTTATTTGTATTTTTATTTTAGTCTTTGTTCATTTATAGAAGTTAGCCAAAATACTCACTTTATGGTTTATCCTGATTTTTTGCACTCTCTTCTGTACTTGTTCTCTCATACAGAGCAGAATGATTCTTTACAATGAGAATTAGGTTCTTTAATTTCTCTGTGATGCCAGGATGTGAGAGAACCAGATTTGGTATAGGGCCCTGTGAGAGGCCCCTCACGGAGGTTCCCTGTGGCAAGGGATTACCTTCAATATCCTTTGTTGACCTACATTCGTTAATCCAATGCCTGCCTTTGCCACACCTTCCATGTAATCCAGAAGGGAGGGGTATTCTGATCAGATTATCATCCGAAAAAAGCCCTCATTGTTTCTAGTAATGCCCTATTTACAATCTGTTTTAAGGTGATCTCATTTGCAATAATTATAACACTTTAGATTTCATTTTTTCCTCAAATCTCTGGGAATCACCTATCCTGTCCAATTATCATCATGGTCATAAGGTTCACTATTAATTGTCTCCCCAACCAATTCCTCCAAATGGCTGAGCTTGCCTTTAGCAACCTTATTATCCTTTTGCATTGAGAATCAGAATTTTCAAAAGCCAGAGATGCAATTATTATACATTTATCTTCTGAATTTGGTAAAGTCAATCTTTGTAAGAAATCTATAAAGGCTTCCTCTGTGCCCTGTATAACTTTAATAAGTTAGTCACTTTTTCCTATTTCTCCAGTTCTCTCTCAAGCATTCAAACTGCCGTGTGGCATAAATTGAAGGCATGATCCTCATATAAAGCTTGCCTTTATATAGTAGCATAATCTCCTTCTCTAAGAAGTTGATCTTGGGAGATTTTCCTACTTCTAGTTTTACAACATTGTTCAACAATCTTAGCCTTTTCTCTGAACCAGGTACTCTACTGTAATCATTGTTCAGGCTCTAGAGCACCTTTAACCAACTCTATCCAGTCTTTAGGGATAACTCTATTACAAACTGACCATGAGTTTTAAGATTTGCTTCACAAAATGTGAATGCATGCCATATGAGACTATTGCTTCCTTGAATCTCCTTAAATCTAGCATTTACACAGGAGTCCAGCTGTGGTAACCAAGTCTCTTCCATTTGCCAATTCCTGCAAGGTTACTAGATATATTAAGGTTGGTTGTTTGAAAATCGTAGGCTGTTCCTCTCTAATCTTATAATGCGATGGTGAAATTGGCTCTCCATTAAATTTTAGTGTCAGATTTGAATATGTCTGTGATCTGTTTTATTATGTTTTTCTAAAATTTGTATCTTAGCACTTAGATTAACTATATTTTTAGTGATAAAACAAAATGATAGTTCTGATAATGTTTACAATTGACATCACATAAATTCATCTAAGTTAATTATTCTCTTATTTAATCCTTTCACTTTCAAATTGTCTAGCAGATTACCATACAGAGACCCAAGTCCCTCTATTGCAATGGTTTCTCCCAATTTTTTGTTCCCTTTTTATTTTTGGTTTTTCGAGACAGGGTTTCTCTGGTTTTGGAGCCTGTCCTGGAACTAGTTCTTGTAGACCAGGCTGGTCTCGAACTCACAGAGATCCCCTGCCTCTGTCTCCTGAGTGCTGGAATTAAAGGTGTGCACTACCACTACTTGGCTTCATTTTCTAAGGTGGGGAAAAAAAAACTTGCTCTTTTAACTCGTCTCTCCTTTAAGAATTTCCAACTGTCTTACCAAATCTGCTGACAATGTTGATGAAGATGTGAGGCTTTTGCTGCTGTACAGAACAGTAAAAACCTGACTGTATTTCAAGGCAACTACGTAGTTTGGCAGCAACTCAAGAAGGGGATTCATGGAGAGCCTGCCATTAGAGCAGAAAGTAAATCCTAGCCAGTAGGGCACCAACTCTGTTCACAAATATTTCTTGACTATGCCTGTGACTGTAAATTCATGGACAAATGACTTTTTATGAATTTGTACCCCAAACATTGGGCACCAGATGTAGCACCAATATTAAAAACTCAGAGGTAGGGCTGAGAGATGGCTCAGAGGTTAAGAGCACTGCCTGTTCTTCCAAAGGTCCTGAGTTCAATTCCCAACAATCACATGGTGGCTAACAACCATCTGTAATGAGATCTGGTGCCCTCTTCTGGCCTGCAGGCATACACGCAGACAGAATATTGTATACTTAATAAATAAATAAATATATATTAAAAAAATAAAAAAAATAAAAACTCAGAGGTAGATATTGGGATTCAAGCTGAAGATCTGAATAGTAAAACAGCCAAGCCACTAGAGAGAGTTTACCTCCACCAAAGCTCAGACTAAGGAACCATCCTGCAATGCTCTCCACCAACCTCAGTATCCACGCTCCAGTCAGGTTCTGTCTCTTCCCCTTTATATTCCTCTCTCTGCTGAGCCATATCACTCCTGTCTCCACCACCCTAGGGCGGGAATTAAAGGCAGGAGCCACCACCACCTGGATCTGTTTCTGAATCAATCTCGTGTAGCCCAGGGTGGCCATGAACTCACAGAGATCTGTCTGCCCCGTGTCTGAAGTCCTGAGATTAAAGGTGTGTGCCATCACTGCCTAGCCTTTAGTGGCTTAGCTTTGCCCTTTCATCTTCAAGCAAGCTTTATTTATTAAAACACAAACACTATGCCACTATACAAGCTTCTATTATTTCATTTTTTATTTTAAAATGTATTAAAAGAAGAACCACACCCAGGTCCAAGACATTAAGTTCTCTGAACCACTGAACCAACTCTCCAGTTCCTACATATTAATTTTTAAATAATTATCTTATTGTGTGTTGCCAGAAGAAGCATTTTGTCTGAGAAATAACAATTCTTAAAATCAAATCATAGCATGAGGAGTAGGTTTTCTTACACACATGTTTTCCCACATCTTTTTCTTGTCCATTTTGTTAGAGGATAACTGGATTTTTCTGCCTCCTCCTTCATGTAACCATAATTTTGGTATATCAGGAGAAATATCCAACCTCATAGTCACACACAGAAGCCGTTATGTTTAACATTTTCAGATTGTTGTGAATACTCAGATTTGCTATGACAATAAAATAATATTTATAAGCTTCTATAAATATTTATTTATTTTATTTATGCATGTGAGGTTTTTTTTTTTTTTGGTCTGTGGTGATGAGCACTGAATGGCTCAATTGCTGACTGCTACTGCCAGCTCCCCTTGTGTACATTTGCCAGATTTGGAACAGCTTCTGCCCCAAGGGAGTTCTATTAACCTGGCAGAGCACTGATGTGAGCACAGTTTGAATTTGAAAGTGTGTAAAGGAAAAGAATAAAAGCCCAGCAGAATTGTTGGCTCTTGTTTCCAGGGATGCATGCAGTCTCTCAGAAGTCTCCTAATCGACTGCCTGATAAGTTTTATAAAAATTTGTTCTTTATTTCTATGTATTTGGTGTTTTGCCTGCTTGCACATCTGTGCATCCAAGGAGTTCAGGTCCCCTGACCCAGAGTTACAGACGGCTGTTAGCCTACTGTGGATGCTGGGAATCAAACTCAGGTCCTCTGAAGGGAAGCCAAGTGCTCTCCGCCCCTGGACCCTCTCTCTTTCCAGTCCCAGGCAACTACACTCACACTGTATGTGGTAATGAGCTTTACATCAGCTTGACACATGAACTCCAGTCATCGGAAAGGAGGGAATCTCAGCTGAGAAAACGCCTCCATGAGATCCACCTGTAGGGCATTTACTCCATTAGCAATCACGGGGAGGACTTGGCCCATTGTGGATGATTCTGTCCCTGGGCTGGTGATCCTCAGTTTTATGAGAAAGTAGACTAAGCAAGATATGAGGACCAGATGGAGTAAGCAGCATCCTCCATGACCTCTGCATCAGCTCCTGCCTCCAGGTCCCTGCCCTGTGTGAGTTCCTATCCTGACTTCCTCCCCATCTGGCTTTGTGGTCCTGGTGTTTTGTTGCAACAATAGAAACCCTGACTGAGACCTGAGCCAACTCAAGTAGCCATCAGATGCTATTCTGCTTTACTTTCTTTGCTACGGCAAACACTGTGACCAAAAGCATCGTGGAGTGGAAAGGGTTTATTTGACTTTTAGGTTACAGCCCGGCCTTGGAGCTGAAGGCAGAAACTGAAGCCGAGACCATGAGACATGCTCACGGGCTGGGTCTCACTGGCTTCCTCTGCAAGCTTCTTTCTGTCCACCCCAGGTGCCCCTGCCTAAGGGTGCGGCGTCCACAGTGAGCTGGGCCATCTGACATCAATCTGTGCGGCACCCACTGCTCTGGTCCTAGAACCCTGGCTGGGGCAGTGAGGGAATGAAGAAAGGACAGACACACACGCGATGAAGCTGGGATATGGGGGTTTCTCTAATGCTACTGACACCTCCACAACCTGGAACCCCAACGTTTATAGGTACAGTGGAGGACAGGGTTGGCTAGTCTGGGTACGAGGTCTCTACAGGTGAGCAGGAAGCCACAGTTGGTAATCTTAGCACACGTTCACCCATAGTTCATAGACTCTCATGCTTGGCTCCCAAGAAGAGCATTGCCATCTCTGGAGCCAGGCCTGTGCTGGTAATGGTCTTGACTATGTCCCATGGGCCATTTGATCATGGAATCCTCAGAAGGCCATGGCCGTGTCGAACACACATTCACTCACTCAGGACTTCCTCTGCTCCCTACAAACCAGCAATCAAGAAAATGCCCACAAACACACCCTCGGGCCAATCTGATGGAGGCAATTCCTCAGATGAGGCTCACTCTGCCCAGGTTAGACACCACAGGACGCAAAGCTCCATGTGTAGTTGGATATGTGCTGTCAGCAATAATACCCAGGGCAGACACTGTCTGGATTATTTTTAGAGACTTTTAATTTCATTGTATGTGTTTGAGTATTTTGTATGTAGTTGTGCACATGTGCAGTACCCTTGGAGCCCAGAAGAGGGCGAGAGATCCCTGAAACTGCAGTCACAGATGGCTGTCAGCCGCCGTGTAGGTGCTGAGAACCCATCCCATGTCCTCTGTAACAGCAACTGGTCAATGAGTGAATGTGTATTTGACACGGCCATGGCCTTCTGAGGACTCCAAGAACAGATGACCCATGGGACATTGTCAAGGCCATTACCAACACAGACCTGGCTGCAGAGATGGCAAAGTTTTCCTTGGGCGTCCAAGTCTTAGCGTCCACAACTTTTGATCAACGTGTGCAAAGATTACCACATCTTTGAACCACATCTCCAGCCCCACCATCTGCTTCTGTTTGAGGTAGATCAGGGGCTCATTACCTCCCACTGCAGCCTCTACCTGCAAGACCCTTTTCTAGAGGAGGGTGGAAGAGGGCGGCGGCTATGTTGGTGTTCTGGAAGAGCTAAGGGGTCGCGTTGGACAGGATTTGAATCTTCAGAACTCTGGTGAGACATCCACCTCTCACCCCTTAGCGTGTTTACGGGGACTTTACTGGGCAACTAGACCCACAGTGGTGTGTCCTAGTCAGGGTTTTTATCGTTGTGATGAAACACCATGACCAAAGACACTTGGGGAGGAAAAGGTTTGTTCATCATTGGAGGAAGTCAGAACAGGAAGTCACACGAGGCAGGAACCTGGGGGCAGGAGCTGATGCAGAGGCCATGGAGGGTGCTGCTTTCTGGCTTGCTCATCCTGGTTTGTTCAGCCTGGTTTTATTTTCCACCCTCTGGTTGTCCTGAAATTCACTCTATAGTCCAGGCTGGCCTTGAACTGAGATCCACTGGCCTCTGCCTCACAAGTGCTGGGATTAAAGGGGTGTGCCACTATGCCCAGCTCTCAGCCCAGGACCATCGGCCCAGGGATGGCACCACCCACAGTGGACTCTGTCCACTCTCATCAGCCACTAAATAAGAAAATGCCAGTCAGGCAGCAGTGGTGCTTGACATTAATCCCAGCTCCTGGAAAGCAGAGGCAGGTGAATTTCTCAGTATGAAGTCAGCCTCACTACAAAGTGAATTCCAAGATAGCCAGGGCTACATAGAAAACCTGTCTCAAAAAACAAAAAACAAAACAACAACAACAAAAAAAAGAAGTAGGGAGGGAGAGAGGGAGCGAGAGAGAAGGAGAGAGAGAGAGAGAGAGAGAGAGAGAGAGAGAGAGAGAAGAGAGATGCCCTACAGGCTTTCCTACAGCCTGATCCTATGGAGGCATTTTCTTAATTAACGCTTCTCCTCTCAGATGACTGTGGCTGTATCAAGTTTACGTAAAACCATCCAGGACACATGGGAGAAGGCCAAAAGGGTGCTCTAATGGTAACTGAGTGGGGAAACCTAGCAAGGCTTTCTACCTCTATTCTTTACCTTACCCCTATATACCCAAGAAAAAAATCTTTCAGGCAATATAAAAATTACAATGTTCTCACATCAAAACATCTGATCTAACCTGAAGCTATAATAAGGCTTTGTTTCAGCGATGATGCACTCTGACACCTGTGAATACATCTCCCAACATTAAGATTAAAATAGTTAAACTAGCTGGGCTACTGGGACTCAGTGGAGATTCTTAATCATTAACCTCAGCCACAGTCTATGGCTGATCAATAGGAACCTGTGTGTTCCAGCTGTGAGACACTTCCTTGTTTATATTTTATCATCAAACATTATTATCAGTCAGACAGCACAGCTTAGGAAGAAATCATCTTCATGATAGTCCACAGGTAACCCTGCCTGGTAGAGCAGGTTGTTCCCACACCACACTACAGGCAGTGCGGATCTCTCCACACCAATTCACACCATGCCACACACCAGAGAAAGATGGCGGCCGCAAACCTGCGAAGGCACAGCAGAACCGAAAGACATTCTGGAGTCTGTGGTCCTGGGCACTTGCTTATCCAGAGAATCAGCATCAGAGAGTTTGCTCCTGGTGGGCAGACATCCTTAACTTCAATTGCCACAGACTGCTCCTCAGCAGGGCCACCATCACTAGTGTGCAGGGGTGAGGTGTGCTCCTCAGTTCTTCTCAATGAGGCCATAGATTCCAGGAAACATTAGACACTGTTCCCTGAAGAGAGCTGGGGGGCTCTGGATGTCACAGGAGGGGCCTGGATACATCATCTGTCACTCTGTCAGGGCAGGCAACTGTCTTCACGCTACAGAACAAGAGACATGAATAACCATTGTGAAGACAGCATCTCAACAATCCACCGCTCACTCAAAGGTGATTTGAGGGTCCCTAAAACCCAATCATGTCCACTTTGCCCCTCTCCAAGACAGGTCCAAATATGTCACTTTACAATCCAGGAGACACATATCAGATACTATGTAAGCACTATCCGTGCTTAGAGTAAAAATAAATACATTCATAACAAGGTACAACCAAGGTTCCCAGAATATTGCACTGGAGGAGATATGGATTGCCAGAACTCCCACTACCTCCAGCTACACCCCAGGGGCCTAAAGGACAATCCTGCTCCCCCACACTTACCTGGAGCCAGAGCATATTCCCCTCCATTGCTACCTGTGAGAAGAAAAGCTGTGAGAGACCAGGGAAGACCCTGACCCTAGGAAGTTTCCAGAACTGACAGCAGACCCAGGTCAGAGACAGTAGCAATGAGGGTGTGGATGTGTTTCCCATTAATGAGGCAGAGCACACTTCTAAAAGGGGCTGAGAGAGAACTCAGACCCTGCCCTTTCCTACCTGTGTTTCTCCTCCTCTTCCTCACAACAGCCACCACAGCTCCAATGATCACAGCTCCAAGGAGAACCAGACCAGCAATGACTGCCATGATGGGGACCATGGACTGAGGAGGCTCTGGGGAAGGAAGGACAGAGAGGGAAGGTGAGGGTCATGAACCCAGCTCTCAGCCCTGACCCTGCTCAGGGTCTACAGAAGGCTCCAGCTGCACACACACCCCTCCTTACCCCATCTAAGAGTGAGGGGTTCAGGCAGCCCCTCATGGTACACATGGCATGTGTATTTGTGCTCCTCTCCAGAAGGCACCACCAGAGATGCCCACTTCTGGAAGGTTCCATCCCCAGAAGGTCTGGTCTCCACCAGCTCCATGTCCTGAGTCTGTTCCTCCTCCTCCCTCTGCCAGCTCAGGGTGATGTCAGCAGGATAGAAGCCCATGGCCCAGCACCTCAGGGTGACATCACCTTTAGGTCCAGGATGATGGGTCACATGTGCCTTTGGGGGATCTGTGTGGAAGATTTAAAAAATCCTATAATTAATAAGATAAACTGAAACCTGTAAGACAACAAAGTTTAATCAATGATGACACTGAACTGTGCCTGTTTGAACACTTCTGTCATCACACAGTGACCTGCAGGTAGAGCTGGTCACACTCAACACAGAACTGCACATTTCCCTGCGAGGACCCAGAAACTAGGCGGGGGAATCCCCATGAGCCAGCAGGTCAACGTGGTCTTCCTATGTGATGTTCTGTAGTGTAAGTTAGGTGATAAAAGAATGAAGGAATAATAAATGATTTATTTATGTGATTAAATCCATATCAAAATAAGAAATTAGGAGCATGGCTACATGAAAGATGCCTCCAACTCATGCAGCCCCAGTGAGTCACAACCACTGAGGCCACATTGCTGCCTAGTGTATCTGTTCCTCCAAGTTATGAACCATCACCAAGTGAGTGGCAGAAATATGGTGGACTAATGACATGCAGCCAAAGAAACTGACTCCCCAAGCCACGCCTCTGGGGGCGACAAGATATCAGGTATTGTCGCCTAGGATCCCTGAAGTGTGCTGTGGAGTCCAGTGCAGGACTCACTGGGACACAACTGTGCTCACAGGGTGTGTGGATCTTCCCTGTCACTCAGGTCCCTGAGTTGCAGAAGACCCTGTCTCTGAGGAAGTTCAGTTCCTAAGTCACTAGGGCAACACTGTATCTTGCTCTTGCAGAGTGAGAGGGGTCTATGTGTGGTTAATTCTGGCAGAAAATAGTCTAAGCTCCCAGGAATCTTTCTAGTTTAAAGGGAACAGTGAATTATTCCACAGCTATGGAGAAACACCTTGTCTCAACAAAACAAAACAAAAACCCAACAACAACAACAACAACAACAAAAAAAAAACCCACTGACTTAACTTGTCTAATTATCCAGAGTGTCAGTCCCCATGACACCTGTGGAGACTGTAACACATAATAACACAGGGGACAGAGAAACAAGACCTTAAAGTGAAGAAGAAAAACTGATTAAAATCAAAACGACAACTTCAAAAAAAAAGAAAATTCAATTAAAGGAAAAAAGTAGGAGAAAAAGAAAAACCTCCACAGTTTAGTACTTTCCCAGGCACCCCATAAGTGATCATTCTAGGAGGAGATACATTTGGGGGTGTGGGAGGGATACAAAGCTCACACAGGAATTAGAGAGAATGTATTTTTTGGAATGTTCTTGAAACTGGATGAGGCAACCAAGGAAAGGAAAGTCCATGTCTTCCATCAGGAAAAGGACACTCCGGTCCTGGTGTGTAAGGGCTGACACACTCAGATGACAGGACTCAGTGTCCACACACACTGGGTGTGGGCAGAGAACCCGGCCTGGGAGAAGCCATGGCTGACAGGGGCTGCAGACTGAAGGAGCCACTGTTGGTGATGTCGAGATCCTCTCTCCTCCCTCCTGAGACAGATGTGGAAATGTCCAGGGAGAAGGCTGAGCCCTGGGAGGTCAGTGCAGTCCCTGCCATGCTGGATCAGGAGACCCAGGGACCCTGTTTGCTCTCAGAGTCAAGGGCATGACCCCAGTGAGGGTTTCCTCTTCCTCAGGACTGAGCCCAGCCCGAGGGCAGAGGGAGGAGTTGCCCGTGGCCCCCGCACCTGTGCGTAGCAGCGCATCCTTCCCGTTCAGGAGGTATCTGCGCAGAGAATGCACACAGGTGCCCTCCAGTTCAGCCTTCAGTCTCTCTGCAGCACCAGCCTGCTCCCACTTGCGCCGGGTGATCTGCGCCGCCGTGTCCGCTGCTGTCCATGTCTTCAGGTCCTCGTTCAGGGTCAGGTAATCGCTGCCATCGTAGGCTTGCTGACTGTACCCGCGGAGGAAGCGCCCGTCCGACCCCACCTCACAGCCATACATCATCTGGATGGTGTGAGAGCCTACGGGGACCCTGCGGTCAGCCCAACCATACTTCCCCGCCCACCCGCGGACTCTAAACTGAAAGGGAAACCCGGTCAGGTCCCTGCTCCCCTCCCAAACCTCAGTCCTGGGAACCTGGGCTACTCCAGCCCGGCCCATACTTAGGGACGTGGAGGGGTCGTGACCTCCAACCATAGTCACTCACCGCCCTCGCTCTGGTTGTAGTAGCCGAGCGCGGTCCTCAGGTTCCTTCGGTAAATCTGTTCAATGTTCTTGGCGTTCCGTGTGTTCCTCTCCCAATACCCAGGCCCTTCCTGCTCCACCCACAGCGCCCGCGGCTCGTATCTCGGTGTCTCCGAAGCGCTATCGTAGAGCACGAACTGCGTGTCGTCCACGTAGCCGACAGAGATAAACCGGGGCTCCCCGAAGCCGGGCTGGGACACGATGGTGTAGAAATATCGCATGGAGTGCGAGCCTGGGGGCGGCGCGCGGTGAGACCCCGACTCTGCTCCCGGGACCCCGGGCAGGAGCGCGGGCCAGGAGGGGAGCAGAGCGTGGGACTCGTAACGCGGGTGGAGAAGGGGCGGGAGGGTCCAGCTGGGCCACGCTGGGACGCGGCTTCCCCGGTGCCGCCCCCGCCCTCCCCGCGGAGCCCGTTTCCCTCCCGACCCCGCACTCACCCGCGCGGGTCAGGGTCGGGGCCAGGGCGGCCGCCAGCAGCAGGAGCAGCGTGCGCCGGGCCATCGCCCTCATCTCAGATCTGGGGCGACTGTGAGTTCCGCGGTCTGCGTGGACTTTATAACCGGTGACCGCGGCGACGCTGGTTGGTTCCCCGGGATCTCGTCACCCAATGGGGGTGAGACCCGCCAAGTTGTCATCAGTGTCCGGGCAGAAGGACCTGACCCGGGTTAGGAGCTGGAGAAGTGAAACTGGGGACAGGGGAATTCCCAGCCCTGGGCTTCCCCACCCGGGCCTCACCCTCCTGGGGACTAAGACTTTGTCTTAGGGATGCAGCGCTGTGTGTCATGGTGTCTCTGAGCCGCCTAAGGCCAACTGCTCCTCAAGTCAGTCTGGATGAAACCTAAGAGCATGAAGTTTCCAAGTAAAATTCACACAGCACTTAAAATGAATGTTCACGGAAACAGATCCTGTCAGAGTCCTGGTGAGTGGGAGGGGCTGCCATGCACACCTGCATCTGGCGGTTACTGGAGTTTTCACAGTTTTGGTCAAACACTTTTGACTTTGTTAACTGTGTTGTTCTATGTGAATCTCCCTGCAGGAAGGAGGCCCCCACTCAGCTCTGCTCTCACCTTCTTCTTCAGTTATGTGTGGATGGGATTTGAAGATCTCAATTCAAAATCCATCTAGGAATAAGCCCAGCCCATTAGGGGGCGTGTTCGCCTCGGGCTAATGTTTACATATAAATCTGATGAGCAGGAGGCCACTGGTCTCTCTTTTTTGTATTTCCTGCTCATCTCTGGATCGCTGGTGTTGTAAGATATCCCTTCATTAAAATTTGCTGTTTCATATTAAGCTAGTCTGGTTATTACACCCATTACAAATCCACAGAAACAAAAATTATAAATCTAAATTTTCTTTACAGTACAGTACAGGATAAAACCCCAAATCCCCAGTATGCACCTCTGCCATGAGAGTCGCCCTCCGTCCAATGTCCCCACTGCACGGGACTTAGGAACTCAGGAACCAACTCAGTTGTCAGGTCCAGGGTCCCTCAAATCCACGACATTCATCTCCCTGATTTCATCAGCTCATAAAGTGAGAGTGAAGATCGTGGAGGTGGGGGGGTCACAGGTTGTGTAACTTCTACCACACTATCATTGTTATTCTGCTTTATAGGTACAGTTCCTCTCTGCCTGTGGTTTATTCACTAAAGCAACTGCACCATGAAAGTGTGTGCACACAGGGAAATGTGGAGTGTAGACAGGGTCAGTGCCCTGCTGTATTTGGTCCCCAGAGGGGTCTCTTCCCATGGAGAAGGGGTCTACTGGGCTGAGACAATGACCGAGGTCCACATGGACAATCTCAGGACTATGGAATGAAGATCCGTGTAAACACAAGCACCTGGAGCCACAGATGATCATCTGGGAAGAAACACTAGGAGTCTGAGTGTAAGCACCAGGCTGTGAAGACACGATCCTGAGTGAAGAGGCAAAGTCTCTGTTTACAGGTGAGATCCTGAGCATCAGGCTTGGCATTGTGAGCTGCTCACTGCAGGTGAACACAGGAGCCTGGTCTCTGTGGGAGTCTGTGTGGTGCTTGCAGGCCAGCGCCTCCTCTGCTTTTCTTCCTTCCTTCCTTCCTTTCTTTCTTTTTTTCTTGAAAAATTTCATACCAATCCCAGTTTCGACTCCCTTTCCTTCTCCTGCTCACTTGGCCTTTCCCCCTTAACCCATCCCCAATCCACTCTTCAGGAAGGGTAATTCCATGGGGAATCAGCAAAGTCTAGCAGGTCACTTTGAGGCATGACCAAGGCCCTCCCCACTATGGCTAGGTTGAGCAAGATATCCTTCCAAAGAGAATGGGCTAGAAAAAGCCAGTTCAAGTACTAAGGATAAATTTTGGCCTCACTGCCAGTGGCCCAACAGACTGTCTCAGTCATATAACTGTCCCCCACATGCAGAGGGCATAGTTTGGTGCTATGCTGGTTCCCCCATTGTCAGTCTGGAGTCAGTGAGCTCCCATTAGCTCAGATGAACTGTTTCAGTGGGTTTCCCCATCATGGTCTTGACCCCTTTGCTCATGTTATCGCTCCTCCCTCTCTTTGACTGGACTTTGGGATTCAGTCGATTGCTTCACTGTGAATCTCTGCATCTCCTTCCATCAGTTACTGGATGAAGGTTCTAGGATGACAATTAAGGTAGTCATCTGATTGCAGGGGCAGGCCAGTTCCGGCACCCTCTCCACTATTACTTTTGGTCTTTGCTGGAGTTATTCTTATTTATTTATTTATTATGTATACAATATTTTGTCTGTGTGTATGTCTGTAGGCCATAAGAAGGCACAAGACCTCATTACAGATGGTTGTGAGCCAACATGTGGTTCCTGGGAATTGAACTCAGGACCTTTGGAAGAGCAGGCAATGCTCTTAACCACTGAGCCATTTCCCCAGCCCTGCTGGAGTGATTCTTGTGTGTTCATCTCTGCACTTTACCCCTGTGTCAGGTTTTGATTGCTGCTGAGCAGAACAAATTTCCGTCAATCACTTGAATGGTAACTTGTAACAGACCGTGACAGCCCACATCCAGCAAGTTCCTGCAGCTAGTGATGTCTCCTTTCCCATCTTCCCTCCCACATGAGGCCCTCGGGCTCTCGTCTTTTTAATATAACAGAGAAGCATCAGAGTCTAGGGCAATAGTTCACCTTCTTGAAGAACAAAACAGAACTCTGAGCTCACAGAGGATGAGGTTGAGAAGGAGGAATCACGGTTGGCTGAGCTGCCCCATGACCTCCCTGCTACACCACTGCTAGGGTCTCAGGCTGTCCTGTTCTCATGAAGCTTAAATCCAGATGGAACTTCCCATCCTTTCCAACCTGTGTGAAGACAGCTCCCTGCAAGAGGGTAGGGAGGGTGCAGAGCCATGAGGGTCATAGGAGCTGCAAAGCCAGGAACTAGGGAAGTATCTAGAACTCTGAAACAGACGGTGATGTCTTTTCTTGGTTGTCAACTTGACTATATTATAAGTGAAATTGACTAAAACCCCAAAATGGAGAGTACAGCTGTGAGGGACTTTTGCATAATTTGAGGTGGAAAGATCAACTCCTGGTCTGGATCTGTGCAGTGAAGGACAAATGTAGTTGAATTTTCTGTGTCCTGCCAGCTCCTCCATAATGACGCAGAGATTTCTCTTTAATTGTGGAAGTCAGTCTCAGCTTGGGCTTCTTCCTATTTTAGTGCTTTGTCCAATTATCTCAGCTAACCATCCATTTCTTTGTATTCTAGTTACATGAAGGCAATTGTTTCAACTTTTGTTTCAGCTACAATGCACATTAAACCCATGTACACATTTCCCATTATCAACTTGAGCGAACTCCTTAATCATTAACCTAAACCACAGTGTATATATACAGCCTCTCAAGAGAAACCCCTAAGTCCTAGCTGTGTGACACTTCCTTGGTCCTATTTTCTACCCTCTGCTGCCCCTGCTTTATCAGGTGTGGGGACAACACCGTATCTACCTTTACCTATATTAAACTAACTTTTCCCAATAACTAACCCCTACCATAATCCCTTTCTACATTTGTTAGAAAGCCTTAATCCTTAAAATTCTATTTAGACTGATACTATTATTGTATAAAATCATTACTTTAATTAGACAGTACACTTTAAGAGGAAATCATCTTCCTAATAATTCATAGGTAAAAATGCCCAGTAGAACAGGATATAATCTGAGATGAGATAATCACACTACATTAAAGGCAGTGGGGATATCTCCACACCTCTTCACACCATGCCAGATACCAGAGAAAATGGCAGTGGCAAACATGTAAAGGCACAGCAGCAGCAAGAGACATTCTGGAGCTGAAGTTCTCAGGACCTGGTCTGTGGGAGAGTCACCCATCAGTGCCCTGCTTCCTGGTGCCCAGATCTTCTGAAACTCAAGTGCTCCCTGCTGCTCCTCTGATGTAGCCACCAGCAGGCCCCAGTGTTAGGGTAGTTGGACTGCAGAGGAGGGGACAGGGTAAGTCCCAACTCCATCATTGTCCCTCAGTGCTGAGGACTTTTCCTTGTCTAGAGGGTGATGCTGCTGATATGATCACAGGAGACAAACCAGTGTCTATTTGATCTCTTGGCTCTGTCCTGTTTTGTTAAAAAATGTTCTCTGTGAACAAAACTTTTAGCTGGTCCCCATTTGGGAGTTAATCCTCATGGACTTGCTCCTAATCATTTATGGCAAATAAATTTCCCCCCTGTTCCTTCTTTTGGGCATATGCAATATGTTCACGTAACCGTGGATACATATTCTCATCTTATTTTTGCCTCATCCCATACAGGAGAAAAATTATGGGATGTTAAAAGTCACTGTCTCCAGGCTTTCGCCTACATTAGAGTTCCAAAAACTGTAACAACTGAAATGGGTCAGCCTACACCAGCATTGGCTTTGCTAAATTTTGCTGAGTTCTCAATTTCTCATAAAACAGGAATACCTTATAACAGGAAAGCTATAGTGGAGCGTGCACATCATGTATCAGTGGCCTGTTCTCGAGATATCTTAAAGTGAAATCTTAAAGACCCAGCATGGAGATGAAAATGATTATGATCTTTTTTTGTAGCTTTCTAAGATTTTTGACTAACTGTACAAACTTGGTGAGTAAGCTGATCAGCCAATGCATTCCCCTTGCTCAAGGGACCAGGTAGGCCAGTATGATCCCACAAATGCCCTACGTAAATGGGAACAGAGCGGGTCCAAAGCAATGTCTGTATAGCCAATAACTGTATCTGGACTCAAGATACAGAGGCAATATAAGTTGTAGTCATCAAAGGTGCAAGAAATTTGCTTATAATATTAGCATATTTTTAGGACCATTGTACAGCTATCAATTTAGCCACCTGAGCAGATTTAGCATCAACAGGCTGAATATCAAAATCAGGAGGGGAGGCCATTACAGCTCTCCTGGTGGAAGACCCATCAGTAAACACATTCTGTGCCCCTGCCAGAGCCTGTAAAGAAATAACTTTGGGAAAGCATATCCGATGATTTTAGAAAAAGGTGACCAACTTATCAGAAAGATAATGATT